GGTTTATCAATGTCAAAGCTGTTTTCTTTCCCAGTCATTATCATGTAGCTAGGTCTGGAAACAAGTTACACAGGGACAGGCTAACAGTATGGATTGGGATTCTTAGGGTTAGGTATCCGGAATAAAAGAGTTGTTGACCTTCGTTTATAGATGACCTGTGTTTGACCCATGACAATGGGGTCACCTGCTTGGTTGCTGATGGCTTTTAGTTCTTGTGTCCCAGGGCTCAAAGGTATCAGTTGAGTACAGTGCTAGTTTTGTGGGCTCTGTACATCCCACTATATGTACAGTACAGTATAGTACAATATACATATTATATAAATGAATAGAACAAAATTAAGTACAAAGGAGTGGAAATAGTGTTTTCATCTGCTCCAAGGCCAGAACTCAGTAAGATGGGACCCTACAGGGACTAGTATTTTGGTCAATATTGAGGTTTGTATTTGAAGGTGCTGAAAATTTGTTACTGGTTCTCGGGGGCTCCCTCTTTATATTGAGAAATGTGACTCCCTGACAGCCAATCCATTCCCAAGGGAGTACCTGGTGTGGAGGAGCCTGTTTCATGCAGCTGGCATCCTGCCTTTGAGTGCACACCAAGCCCACCAGACATGTCCCAGTTTCAAGATCTGCAGTAGACCAGAAATCCATGCAGCATTTGAAGATACAAATGAGCAAGAAAATGGTACAGTGACATTTTCCAATCTCTGTTATCCCTAAAATGGCATTCAGCTGTTGAGCACTGACCTGCAAGATCCCTCCGTTGGCAGAAATGCATCTCATAAATGGTAAATGTTAGTGTTTAATTATGGAGTCTCTAATCCATAGATTAGTGGCTCCATGCTCTAAAGTCTCCATCTGTTGTACACAGTAAAATCATTATGTCTCTAGTCTCAGTCCTGTTTCAGGCTTCTAAAATGGCTTTCACAGGATTTTCTTTGTTGTGCAAAGCAGCTCGTTCATGGCTGTCACTTGCTGTCCAGGCACTGGAGCAGACATAGCACAATGGCCTCCTGTCAGTGTAGCACAAGCTATGGGATGAGTCTCTGCCCAAGCAGGAACAAGGCTTTGAAATGTATATTTTGGTCATGTTCAGACTTAGCCCCCCTCAACACAAAGCAGATGGCACATTGCCAGTTATTAGGGTTTTTACTATGTTTAGACAATATCCCAAACAATGGAAAACAATGGAAAACATCCAAAGGGGCAACCCAGAGATCTTCTAAAGCAAGACTTCACTCTAGCCATGAGCACTCACTATGCCTGCTCTGGCAGAAGCACAGTCTGGTACCAGGCTTAGTCCCTCGCTTGCCAAAGTATTTTATGATAAAATACCAGACAAAATGGAGATGCCTCAAGCGTAGCCCACACAGCTGCAATCTGGGGCCTCATACGACTACCAAAAACCCTGCCTGGGCCAGGCTGATGTGATGTCATGTACCAGGCACAGACTCGCACCAGGCCCACCCATGGCTTGTCCCAGGACAGTCTGCAACTCCCTTGCATTGTCCCATCCTTTTATTGTCTTGTAGCTGAAGTTACTTCACGGCCGTCCCAGAGAAACACCCAGAGCATTCTGGACCCAAAAGCTGATGCAGAGCTCTTGTTATTGTCACAAAAAGGATCCCTTGGATGGGCATGCTTCCATGCGTACACAGGAGAAGCAAAATCAGACATAACAGATGTTATAACATCTAGGCTTACCATCACGAGCTGTATCTGTACAGGATGCAGGTTTTCTTGCACTGTATCTTCATTCCATTAGCAAAGTACTCCTGGTTTACTCCAGCAGGTGTTCAGACCGGGGGTTCATGCAGAAGCTTTTCTACACCCCTACTGATCCCACTCCCATTACTAGCAGTTTCCCAAAATGTGTTTCAAATTTTATTAGGGATTTTTAGAAAAGTGGATGCCTCCTAGTCTGGTCACTGGGCAGCTACTATGTTGCACATCATCTGGTGTGAGGGATGTTTGTACAGGCGAATGAGCTGCACCCCACAGCCTTATCCAGAGACGATCCGCAAAGTCCTTCTGATCTGACCTCATCCCACAGGCCCTGTAGCACACATCTATTTAATATTGTGTATTATTATCTTTAATTCTAAATTAGTGTATTTTAATATTAAATGTTCCATTTTTTTTCCAGTCAAAGGAAACAAGACTGCTTGGTTCAAATTCTTTGCTCCATTCATTATTTGAAGATTATTGTACAAGGGAAATGAACATGTTTGAACTCTTTAATAGTAGAGAACCAAATCTGGATCCAAACTTCTGTGTTTCAGACCTATTTAATGTGTTTCAGTCTTCTAAGAGTACTTTAAAGATATGAACTGCTGCTCTTGGGGACTAGATCTTGGGAAAGATAATATTTGGGGGTTTTTAAGTGTAAAATACATTAACGTATTTGGGATATTCTGTAACAATCTGATATTCTTTAGCTTTGATTTCTTGAGTGTAAAAAAGGTTGAGATAGGTATAAATACCTGCCTACAAACATGCTTTCCATTTACTTTCTAAGATTTTCTTGACAATTTTCTTTTCAAAAGGCTGTCTGGCAGCGCACACAGCTCCCTGTGCCCTCAGGCTGGAAGTGCCGAGCATTTTGTCTCTGTGACATCAACTGCCATGAAGTGCTGCTGTGCACTGCTGACCCACTCCTCAAAATGAAATTATTCCATGATTTAAAATTCATTTTAGGCAGAGAAATTGCAAAGATATGATGGGGAGGGAGGCGATTCCAGAGTCTGAGCTTGTCAAGGGCCGGATGTGCGGCGCAGACCCCCTCAGTGGAACAGAAACGAGAGCCAGCCGCTGCCCTATAGCCGGTCACCGCCGGGTTATGGTCGCTTCCAAGGGCTACGGTCACTTCCCTGCGCTTCTACCGAGGCTTTTCCAAGCCGCTCGTTCTGTCCCCGGCCCCGCGTCCCCACTCTGCCCTCTGGTGGCCAGCGCGGGGAGCGGCCGGCCNAGGGCAAAGGGCGGCGGTTGATTGATTTCAAATTGCTGCATGAGCGTTTGAGAGCTCCCAGGCCGTGCGCCGAGGACTGCAGAAAGGCAGCAGCTTGCTGTTGTGTTTTTGTTTCTGCACAGGCCTGGACAACAGCATTAAATTCATCCTTGGCCCCCGATGGGACTGCTACCTGCCGTCCCTTTTCCTAGTGATCGTGCCAGGACCTTGCTCACTCTTTAATCCATGTACCCCCCACTCCTTGCTGTGTCACAGCCCCCCGCACCTCACCGTGTGCCTCCGTGGCTCAGCTTGAACGTGATTCCTCTGAACAGACTCCAGATATGCTGAATATCTCTGTGAATGTAAAGTGTTTCTTTGGTTTTTTTTTTTAAAAAATGCTGCAGTTTTATTTTTTTATACAAACTAAAACACCAGAGGTCATTGAATCCTATATTAAATACATAAATTAAAAAATAACCATTAATAAAACTTTACATACAATAAGGATTCTCTCCTACACATTAATACATATAGTACATATACATGTCCAGTGTTTATCAAAGGGTCATTCTGCCAAGTCATTTACAATTTTGTTCTGGAATAGACACAAAAAAAATATGGAACAAAAAGTATATATAAAACCACAGAGGTGCTGATGTGAGAGAGGGCAGGGGAAGAGAAAACCCTTTGGATCACCAGCAGCTGTTTGTTCTCTGAGCCCTGCTCATGTCAGGAGAGCCTGGCCTGAGCAGTCCTCATTGGATGCCATAGAACTGAAAGCTTTGGGTTTCAGAGGATGTTTCCCACTGAGATGATGGTAGGGGGTTGGAAGATGAACACCTAAAAAAATTCTCTATTGTCCTCCATGCACATCAGTAAGATGATGGAGCTGCAAGCCAGGCTGGTAACACTGCAAGAAGTACCATTTCCTTACTGCAACTCCAATTGCCTAAATTCATTTCACATAACTGGGCCCTCCTCTGAGGTGCTTAAATTAAAAAAATAGTCTTCAAAATCTCCCAGCTTTGTCATTGGAAAAAAAAAAAAGCAGCAACTCAAATTGTGGTCAAGCTGATTTGTACTATCTTCTGTGGCTCACCTCTTGCTTTGGCAGGATGGATAGCCTGAAGTGCTGCTACTCCTGAACAGCCTTGTTCAGGGATGCATGGGAGGGATTCGGGGCTGTATTTGCTGTTCTAAGGCTGGAGTAAATTGATTCTTATGTTTCTTGTTGGCTTTGGGGAGGGGAAGGTTGGCTGCAGTGACTAATCTGATGGAGGATTCTCAATCCCTTGCTTAAATGAACAGCAGGAACAGCAGAAAGCCCAGGATTAGCAGCCAAACAACAGAGAAGGGTCTGGAGAAAAGGATCAAAAAATTTGTTGCCCATGAGATGTGAAACTAAACCTGGAGGAATGTACCAGTTGTGGCAGCTAAACAATCTTGATTCACTTCCCCATGCCTAGACTGAAGTACACTTTCATAAGCTATAGCAAAAAATTTCTATATACAATAGGGAATAGGTAATATGTATATATATATGTATATATATGTACATATACATATAGACATGTGTATATATATATATATATATATACATACATACACACACAGACATCAAACTCATTTTGATCTAGCTGATAGCAGAAAGTTTGTAGTAACTCATATCAGCAAGTGTGTTTTAGGCATGGCATGTGTCATGCTATGCTTGCAAGGAGAGAAGAGCAGTGGTGGTTCAGCTCCCTAGAGGGAAGAAAAATCTTTGCAAAGTTTGCATTACTCAGGTCTGCTACAGTCAGACTACCACCCCCCATCCCACCCTGAGCCCTTGGGAATGTAATACCTCCATGCATATATATACACACAGGAGTAAGGGAGGGCAAATTAGACAAAAAAGAGAAATTAAATAAGGTAACATGGGTCAGGGAGTCTAAATGATGAAGCCTGCCACAAGATCAGTCAGCTATGTTGTGAAAGTGTGTTTTTTTATCTGTGCCATAAACCTTCTGTACAATTGCCTGAAATAAATGTTTCTAGACAATTGTATTTTTTTAAACCAAACCAGTGCTAGAAGTTATTGCACCATCACTGAAACCACGTGCTGCTCATTCTTCTGCAAGAACTCAGTGCTTTAACTGCCAGCCCAAACACTGAGGAAAACAGCCTGAAGATGTGAAATTACCTGATGCTGCAACAGAGGAGAAAAGTGAGGTGGGAAGAAGGAATAACCAGAGAGAAAGCCCCCTCTTTGTAGCTAACAAGCTGTTGTTAATCTCAGTGATCTCCAGCTGTCACAGGAGTGGGACCACTCTTCCAGGGCCCAACTCCAGAGCTTCAGGACTCAGATGCTAGCTCGTGGAAAGCACATGTACATTTGGGTCAACCTTTTCCACAGAATCTTCTGCTAGGGAAAAGGAATTTGAACAAAAAGCATGTGATGTGCCTGCAGTCCTGTAATGTATCTACCTACAAGCATATTTCTTTAAAAAATGAACTAGCAAACATACAGCTTGGTGCCAGAACTCAGTAAACCCCTTGGCTGAACCAGACTGTTTCAGGAAGATGTGGTCACTCTATAATTAAATTAATTTTAAGGAGCAGGGAAAAAAAAAAATCACTTGCTAATAACTTCCAATCTTCGATGGAAGGCTTAACACTATCTCCTGGCACTCAAAAAACAAAGACGTTAGCAGTCTTTGTGGAGAAACTGAGCCCCAAATTGCAATGCAGTTGGACAAATGTACATTTCTGATTAAAAGCTATTCTGGCCAAAAAAAAAAGGTGTCTGTGAGGGCAGGCATCCTTGATACTAGAGGAACTTCCTCCTTCCTATGGCTAAGAAACTGTTTTTGATGTGCTGAGTTGGTCTGGCAAGTGACCTCACTGCTTTGTGCCTCTGCTGCTTCATCTGTAAAAGTAAGCAGGCAACCAAAGGAGAAGCTCTTTGGAAAACACTTTAAAAGCTTCTGATGTGCGTAAGATGTTGGTACATGTGATCCCTGCTTTGAAGGTGTAAGTATTGCACAAGCTGTATCCTGGCCCTTAATTTTCTAGTTTGTGGTACAGAAATCCATTTCTTCCAGTTAAAATTAAAGCTCCATTGGAGAAGACAGAGCCTTGCCACAGGAACCCAAAATCTGAACAGGCTGGACTCCATTCCCCAGGAAATTAAACCAGAGGCACCAAGAAGTGCACTGTCAGCCCATCAGTGAGAATGGGAGGGTGGGTGCAGCTGGCTGCACTGCCTCCCTTGGCACAGGACCCTCACAGTGGTTGCTGCAGGCATTATGCTTCTCAGGGGCATTTCTGACAGAGTACTGGGTGCATGGACCTATGGCCTCAGGGAGGCACCATGGCTGGGTTCCAGGCTTTCTGATTACAGAGGTAAGTAATGCATTGAAATTAAAACTACTTTTAGTTACTCTTAACTGGAAAAATCTGAACAGACTAGCAATATTTATTATTTGTAATAAGGTTGTGTTCACAAAGTTTCTCCCCCATTTTTGGTCTATGTATCATTGATTAGGAAGCCAACTAAAAAAGTCAGTTGACAAGCTGAACCAAAACATTTTTTCCAAGCTGGGACAAAACAGTGGGAAGCTGATGCTTTATGAATCATGTCACATGCACAAGGGGACTAATTTTCCTCCCTGTCCTCCAACATTTCTTTTCTTTCTCAGAAGCTACTCTGTAAGTCCGATTCAGTGCTCCTCAGTGGTTATTCTATAGTGAAACCAAGTACAGTCATTATCTCGATGGCAGTCTTTAAAGAGTATGAAAAGTATCTGATAATAGACTTGCTGTTCTTCATGGAGGGATGGTGAAGAGAGATAAGGCTTCAACTCCACTGGAAACCCTCCTTATGCCAGACTTCCATTCCTTGGCCAAGGCAGGCAGTACTGTATTACGATCTCAAGCACAAAACATGGTGACCTGTCCTGCCCATCCTGCAAAAAACCCCATGTTTGGTTTTTTTTTCCTTTCTTCCTTCCACATTGCAGCTGTCATTGGTTCCTGAGGTTAAAACCAAAGAGGGAGAGCAGGAGTCCCTGCAGCGAGAAAGCCACACACTTCAAATCGAGCACTTTGTTGTCAACATCTCTTGAGTTTCTCCTACTCTGATCTGTTCATTTTTGATCCATTTGTCAGATGACAGGGTGACATTTCAATGATTGCCCTGCACAGCAGGAATAGATTTTTCTATTGTAACTTTGGTTCCATGCCCAAGACACACTGACTTGATCAGCTGAAAGTTGTTCCTTCCCTTCAAGTTCTTCCTAGGTGATGTAGGTTGTCAGTTTATTTTTCTTCCCCTTTTGTAATTTCAACATACAGGATTTCATTAGATGCAGCATATATCATAGCTTTAGACAGGAACTGTCAGGTAACAAATTTTGAGTGATGGCTTTAAAATATAAGGTGGTTGCAGTCTTGGCTACAGGTTGTTCATTTTTATAATTTTGAAAATAGCTGTAAACAATATTCTCTTCATCGAGGGGTGGAAGCATTTGCCTTTATAAGGACTTATCTGTGTGGTCGGGCACTCTAAAAGTTTAAAAAAAAAACAAAAAACAAAAAACATATGTATCAGATAAATTGTAAGTTTTTAAGTTCCTCTACCTACCTATGCCAGCTTTGCCAAGATACAATCTATCAATCAGGAAGCTGAAAAGGTCAGTTTCTTATAGCTATCAGTGTAAAACTGGTTTTGTCTGTATGAAAAGCATTTGTGAGAATTCTGTGTATTTTGCTAAGCTTGTCCATTTAAACCTCACAAAGTGCAACCTTGTGGTGCATAGAAGTCCCGATGGGCATCTTCACATATATAGTATGTACAAGTTTCAATGACTCTTAAACCAAAGATGTCTAAAATTCACCCATAACAAGAGCTGTGGCAGCAGCCAATATCCTTAGGTTGTCAGAGCAAGCCTGGAATTTTGGCTAATGCAGCATTGAGGCAAACAGAAACTGCTGCTGTTCTGAGAAAGCCTATCCTATGGAAAAGAACTTTGGTTCTGAGGTTTGAGACCAGGAAAAAAAGGGCATATTTTATCTTTGTTACCTCAGCATTCAAACCTACATAGTAAAATTCATTGGCCGCAAAATCCACACAGACCACACTTCCTTATGTGATCACAAATAAGTGAATACATATGTTCACAAGCACAGAGAAAATGCAGGTAGGAAAACCCCCACATAAACAGGAATTAGCTTCTGGTCTGGATACTGTATCTGCTACACATGGTTTCCTTTATTTGCACGTTCTTGTCCTTTTTTATTTCAGTACAGCAGTGAGTCCTGGGTTCACTCTGGGTGAGAAGGAAACCAGAAAGTATAATCTGTGAACTCACTGTGGATTTCTCTCTGCTGGTTAGAAGATTGGTAAAGGATAAACTCCACCAAGACATGAACAAAACCAAAGTCTTTTCACCATCACGTGGCTCCCTAGATGAGCTGGGCATTTTGTTTGTTTTGTCAGGTATCTGTTTGAAGTGCCTTATGATAAGGCTAAGACAGTTTACTTGCATCCAGTGGAAGTAAAGCAATTCTGCAATATATATAGTATATTGTATATATGACAATATATATAGCTCAATAGTTGTAGGAAGAAATGCTGATGGCACACCCCCCATGCCACGCTCACCTGTGCTGAATTAAATCACCTGGGTAGGCAGGTGTGTTTTAATGTGAATGCATTAAAAACAATGCAACACAAAACAACATTCGTTATTCTCTCCAATTCCATGTATTCCAGCCTCGGAAGACACAACTTTGCCAAAATCCCTCTCCATCTTGCCAACACCATTCCCAAATTGCTTGTGTCTGGAGATTTCCCCTCAGGTATGGACGGGAGAGGATCCCATAGAGGAAAATGCAGGGGTGAAGGCAAGGAATGAGGCGCTTACCATTACCTTGTTTTTGAGGAACTGCTACAAGACTTGATGCTTTGCACCTGTGGAGTGACTGGCCTTGGTAAAACACTCTACAGGTATCATGAGTGTTGTGATGCTGGGCCTGCTGCAGCTGTCTTTACAGTTCAAGGGAGTTCACAGCAGTGCAGATCCTCTGGAAAAGCATTGAGTTTATATATCCCCCACACACACCTCACCCGTAAGATTTTTCCACTTTCATAGTCAACGTTGATTCTCTAAATCACTGTTATCTCCACCACTGTCGTGGCTGCTTCCTCAATCACTCAGCTCACCGTAATCTGTCTTGTTGATCCCTACCTGATGTTCATAAAGCTAAATATGAAAAAGCAGGAAGGGAAAGGCAAAAGAATCCTTTCATCTCCTGGGTGATCCTAAGAGTGCCACATCTGCCTAGCAGGCTTTCTGGTGCTGTAAACCACATTTCAGCTCCTACTGATGCTTCTCGTCCTCTCTATGGGGAACTGGACCCCTGTGTGCTTCAGGGACCAGCCATTACGGAGCAACAGTGAATTCAGTGAGTGAAACTCATCTTGGCATTGTAGTTAGAGCAGCCTTCCTGGGCTCAACAAAGTGATCCCAAATGGATTTACACCTGCTAAACCCTAGATGTTATGTAAAACAAGAGGAAAACCCATTGAAGAAGATTGGGCCAGAATGGCAGGTAGGAGGCTGGAGAGAGAAAGGGCGTAGGGAAAGAAATGAAGTCTTGACACAGTCCCTAAGGGATCCATGTAAATTTCCCTGCAATGACATCAGTTGCACTAGAAAATTGTGCAACTGGGACTGTTGTGTCAGCCCTAAAGACAGCACAAAATGTTTATGTTGTTTTGACTATTAGTCCTGTTTTAGGAACACAACAGCAAGGTGTGCATCAGCTCAGTGGAGAGCGAGAGCTGAACAGGACCCAGCAGCCCATGGAGGTAGGATGACTTCATGTGAAAAATAGCAAACCTCTAGAACTTAAGAAAAATATGGAGTTCTGACCTTAAGCATCTCATTAGCTTTTTCTAACCAGCTAATACCTGCCCTCAAATTAGGCCAAAAGGATCTAAGTGTTACCAGCAAATGGTATTAGGAGGTTGGTATTGGTAAAACTAAGATGTATAAGCTTCTCACCAATTCTGTAGCTGTACTAGAAGAGGCAAGTACTCACTAGAGAACCAACACTATAGCCACACTGGTGGAAAATGTAGGTGAAAACTGTATATAAAGAAGACTCTGAACCTCTTATTGCCCAAGTTTTTCTCATATGCTGCACAAGGACATAATTCTCGTTGCAATAGCAACTGGAAAGGACGACAACACAGGGAAATTGAAAAAATTCACACAGGCAGATTCTTGCAAATGTCACTAGCAGTTTAAGGTGCACCTTAAATCCAAGAACTTTTTTATTTGGAATCTCCCTCCAGGTTGACTGCTTGTTCTGGACTCATGATTCTGTGGTACAGCAAAAGACAGTCATATAAAGTTATCTGCTACTACTGTGTACTGTGAAAATCTTGGCTTCTTAAAATTATTCTGTCCATAATTTGGTTGTTGCAGAAGAATTTCTCTTTTTTTTTTCCCCCCCCATTACGAATAAGCAAGAAACTGTAAAGTCAACCGTTCACCAGTCACAGCCACTTAAAACATCTCACAGCCATACCACGCTGTACTATAATTCTCAGAAATCCTGCAGTAGGAACACAATTAAGTATGCAGTTGTAACTTTATGCGTTCCATGATCACTGGATCAAGGCAGTATATTTTAAGCAGCAGCAACTTGATAATGTTACTGACTGTTGTTTACAAGAGCTGTGCTCACTGATCTGTCCACATTTATCCTAATTCTTTTCTATTGGTTGTTACCCATTCAAGCCAAACTCCATGTATATTGCTGCCTCAGCCCCTGGAATTCATTTTCATTTTCATTTTGAGGTCTGGCCAAGCAAGGATGCAGTGGATTCCAGTTGATGTGCATAATTCTGAGAATCATCTCTGCATCAGCACAAAATTACAAATGAAAGCTTTGGTCCAGGTGAAATGAAGCACAAAGTAGGGGCTTTTCCTTAAAGGGAAAAGGAAAACCCACCAAACTAGACCCATGCCATTTAATTACAATCAATGCCTTGAACTGTATCTGGAAAAAAAGAATGAGCTTTTTCTGGCACAAATGGTGGAAGGGCATGGCAGAACATCTTTCACACCACTGTATCTCAGCTTGTCTCAAGTGAAGAGCAGAGGAATTACTCTTTGACACAGCTGAAGCCAGAGCTGAGAGATACTGAGAAATTTAATGGTAAGAGTCTGTCCCCAAATCAGAAAATTATGCTCTGTCATTAAATGTTTTTCAGACTTTAACATTATGTTTTCTAGGCTATGTCTACTTCTGTTATCCAGGATCAAAAGAAAAATTGTCCTAGGCCAGCATCCTTGTTCTAGAAGTGGCTAGCCACAGAGGAAAATGGGACCACTATAGTTCTCTGATTTATTTCCCCATCTTCATGTTACTTTTTCAACTCTGAACTTTCAGCTGCTAAGCATATTGTGACAGACTTCTTTACAACTTGTGTCCTTAACTATAAATTTTTGTTTACTTTAAGCTTATCACATGGTAATTGTTTGTATTAGACAGTGAACAATAGCAAGCAGTCTGTCCGTCCATCCCTCCATTCTATGACAAATTTTTTAGACCTCTCCAATACCTCCTTTTAGTAGTGCTACTTCCTGAGCCAGAAAAATCCTTCCATTTCTCTGTCTTTCCCTTCCTGTCTCTCAGCAGCTGATCATTCTTCCTTGACCACCTTTGTATTTTTCCTGCTCCTGGACACAGAGCCCTTAACCTGTTTTAACATCCTGATTGCCTTCCTGAGTGTTAGTTCAGAGTGTGTTTATGGTTGAGGTTATTTTAACTGTTTTCCATCTACATCTCATTGAAAACATCAACAATGAATTTCCCCTGCAATTCCCTTGGTTTTTGGATACTGTGAAATTCTTTGTTAGCTTTTATTTTTTTAATTATGAAAAGCACAATATCACCAGCAACTCAGCAGTACAACAACCCCCTACTGTGAACTATTACAAATTGACAACAACCTGCTGCATTCACTGACTCCAAACATCCATGAAAACACACAAGGATGGGATCCTCCACTCTGTGCAAGAAGTGCTAGCTTTGAGGAAATAAATAAACAGCCTTACCTTTCCAAGAGGCACATTGACATCAAGGCCAAAGAATAAAGGCAAGAGAGAAGAACAAGAATAGAAATAGAAACTGCAGAAGAAAAATAAGATTGTGTAAAAATGAAAGGCAATGGCATTGTAAGCATCAGAATTATTTTTGCACTCTGTAGAACAGTTAGAATATTTATTCATTCAAAAAATACTGTTATTTCCTTTGTTACTTCTGTAACTACCACACCACCTCCCAGGCTTAGAAAACAGATCCAAATAATTTTGGTGATAGATTACAACTGGCACCAAATAGAAAGCCTGAGGTACAACTGTCACATCATGATAGCCCATGGGTTGACAAATCATAAAGCTAAATCTAAAGTAGCATGCGTAGTATTTTTAAGCTGTTTAAAAACAGTGGCTGCAATCCATGCTAGAAATAGCCTGGATATATAAATATATAAATAAATCTATATGTACACATCTATATATGCTTATAGGTACAAATACACACACACACACATATCAAACACTCACATTACATGTTTAATAATGTAATGCAGTATTTTAAGATTAAAGGCTGTATCTACTGACACAAACTGAAAAGAAAGGACAGTGGACCACCATCAACATGTGCAGCTGACTGAGCCAAACAGAAAGGTCATATAGTTCAAGAGAACTAGATCATTACTTTCAAAATAAAGTTACTCATTGTGCTTCAGAAGCATAACAGAACCAACCTTTTCCTCCAGATCCTTAATTTGTCTCTTTTGGATGTCAGTTTTATCTTCTAAATCTCGGATCCTCTGGAAATCAAAAAAGAAAGCATCAACACTAAGTTGTCAGTAAATCTGTCCAACTGAACAAATAACTGAATGTTCCAAATGCTAAAAGCCTAGAAATCAAGGAATCCATTTCCATGGCAGGGATAATCTTGCGTCATACTGTGAGACTCCATCCACTCATCCTGCCAAACCACAGCTTTACCATGTGTGCAACTGCTCAAAATACGATCCTGCATATATGTAACGGGATCCCTAAATGCTGGAAATTAGTATCAATGATTGATCTGTTTTTGCATTATCTATTTATTAATCCTGTGTTAAACAGCTGAAAAGTATATGATCATGGTTATAATCTTTAGAATTCTATCATGATTCATTAAGATTTCTCACAGTTTGATGTGTTGAAAGAAGATTAAAGTGTTATTATTAGGTCCAAAATGATAAATATATACAATACTATGAACGTATTGGTTCTGTGATGAGTGATAACTTTTAGAGAAGGTGTGTATTTTCAGCAGAACCAGGTACTTTAAGAAAAATTATGTGGCATAACTTAAACTTTTGCCTTCCTGGGAGGAAAGATCCCCCAGAACAGAACTTCTCAGTATGAAAAATGAGGCCTTGACTCTCAGTATCTTTTTTAAATTAAGTCAGGTCATAAGACAGCTGTCCAGCAAATAGCAGGAATCCAAAGAGGCAAAGAAGGAGATGCCTGAAGGCCCGAGCAGCTGGAGAACAGGTGACCTGTGACTATCTTCCTCAGTGTCTGGAGATGTGATGCTTATGGCAGCTTTTGAATTCTATGGAACCACAAAAATCAGAGAATGAGTCAGGTTGGAAGGGACTACAACAGCTCAACCTGGTCCCACCTCCCTGTTCAAGCAGTGTCATCCTAGAGCACACGGCACAGGATTGCATCCAGATGGCCTTAGAATATCTCCAGGGAGGGCAACTTCACACCGTCTCTGGATAATCTGTTCAGTGCCTGGTTACTCATGCAATGAAAAAATTCTTTTTCACGTTCAGGTGGAACCTCTCGTGCAACGGTTTCTGCCCACAGCCTCCTGTCCTATTGCTTGCTTACCTTCTCCTTCCTTTGCCTCTCAGCCACTTCCAACCATGCCTGCAACTGAGACTGGCTCAGAGTCATTCTGAGAAGCCAGACCTGCTGTGGCAGTGTCCCTTTGGGGCAGCTGTCATGTTTAAAATCAAGAAGCTTCTAATGCGGCAAAGGCCTGGCAACAAAAGGTAAGGGTGGACCGAGTCTCAAGCATCCAACTCAGGATCAGGCAAGACTGCGAGAACAGAGCCTTCCTGTGAACCAAACCCCCCCGCAACCACTGGGATGTGCTGCTTCTCTTACTTCCATAAACACCTGAGTCAGATCTCTTTCATGGTGCAGCTTTCACATTATTTAATGGACTGTGACAGTTTGCCATTTTGCTCTGGGACCTCATAGCTTGCAGAGCTGCAAACTCAGTCTTTGAAGGTGAAATGCAGTACCTTATCTCAGCAGTGAAAAGCACAAATGCCCACTTGGGAGGGACAAGTAGTACATGGAAAAACAGACAGCTCTCCTCTGCCATACAAGCCAGCAGCATTTACTCCATTTTTCTTGTGCCCAGTCCAGTAACTAGGGATGACCATTTTTATTACAAAACTAGAACCATGCAGACAGAATTCTGGATGAAAACTTTAGGCTAGAATTGTAAAATTCAAAATATGCTGAAACAATCTTGCACAAGCTAGTATCACGTGTGCTTGCATGCACTGAAAAGACAAAGTATGAGACAGTTGAAAAAGCAAATGTCAGGCTCCCTCATGGGCCTGGAGCTTGCCTAGATTTGAGCTCAGACTGTGCTCCTACACAGAAAGGCTGAGAAGATACCTCGTGTGTGGTTCCTTCTTCTTACCTGATGAGCCTGCTGGAGCAGCTCCATCCTCTCCTGAAGAATCTGGCAATCATATTCTCTGCTTTTCCTCAGCATCTGACGTCTTAGCTTTTCTACTGCTGTCCTCAGCTCTTCCTGCTGTTTTTCAGTGAGTAGTTCCCCAAACTTTATCACTGTTTCTTGCTGCAAAGCATTGTACAGGGTGGCTTCAAGCTCCTGGATCCTCTAGTTGAGGCAATACCAAAAGTCAATTAGAGATGAAACATGATTTAAGCCACATTAGGAACTGTGGGATTCAACTGGGGTTAAGGCCCCTGCATGAAAAGCAGCCCATGTGCTCAGTTGTGCAAAAATGTGAAAAACTGAACTCAGAAAATGGTTGCATGTTCTGAAAAAAGGATAGGAACTTTTATTTTTAAAATATTTCAATATTAATTTTCCCTGAAATCCTTCATTTTTACTCTTTTTTATGGAGTTACAGAGTTGGATAGAATTTTCATATCTGAGGTGTAAATTATTTTTTTTAATTTATTTATCTTTTGTATTATGCTAGTACATCAGAAGAATGAGGAAAGAACAAATTTTAAAAAACCCAATACTAACAAAAAGCAAACATCGCTCCTCCTGATTCAACAGGAATCTATGTGCTACTGCAGAGTTGGCCAGTAAGTGCTGCAGAATTTCCTTTGTACATACCATGTATGCTTGGTCAAGAGCTTGCTTCCTGTAGTCTAATTCTTCCTCCAAATAACCTTTTATTTTGCAAAATTGCTCCTACAATGAAGGACCATTTGGACAGAAAAACAAACTAGTTACTTCAAATATTTTAGGAAGTTTTGTCAAATCATTTACAGATATCTAATTCAGAAGGACGAGGAGACTGGTTTTCAACTGATGCTTGGCAGTTATTAATATCTAACTCAGCTAGAAAAGAAGGAAGGGCAAATAGCTCTAGGTTGTTCTTGTAGATGAATACCTCTGATCTACATGGAACTAAATCCATCCTCTCTGTTCACTTCAGTGGTATTGCTTGGTATTTCAGTAGTGAAATTTAGGGTGTTTGTGATTTTTCTAAAGATACTTCCTCTGGCATCAGAAATTACTCTTTTTGTGCTTTCTTTTATTTTGGATGAGGTGTAGAAGTGGACTAAACTAAACAGGAACTAACTAGATATTCACATTCACATTCCTTGGGGGCAGCTGCTGTGCTTTAACTTATCAGTCCACCTTAAGCTGAACAGACTTAAGTACAGACATACCACAGGAACAAAACACAAGCCACTACAGCTGTCTAATTCTTGTAGTTATGTTTGTTCATCTTGTAGGCTACTGCCTACTACTTAGAATAAGAACTAAGAATTAACTGGAATAAGAACAGGGTAAGGTACTAACTTTACTTAGAATGTAATGAAAGCCAACAGTATTATTATTCAGTTCAATGATTTCTCACATGCTCGTCCTGAATAAAATGCAATACAACAGCTGATGTTTAGGCTATGAACCTTATAAGACAAATAATGCATGCATCCCTGAAAATTATTGAGAAACCTTTGAACCCTCTGTACTTATTAATAAACAGTCATCCTCATAAAAGGAGAGAGCATTTTTTTTAACTTTTACTGTTTCTGTTATTCTGCTGTTGCATGTGAACTGGACTAGGACAATTTTATAAATTCACCAGTTATCAGTGAAATGCTGCATAGCTCATTTGCCAATAGACTTTCCTAGTTATTTTTTGGCACATCAAGTAAGTGTTACACAATTATTAAAACATGTAATAAGGAAAGTTTTCTTACCATATCACTTTCCAGTTCTATCATCTTCTGATGCAGAGCAGCTTCAGCTCCCTCAATCTGCTGGATCCACTGGAGAGAAGACAATGAGACCTATAACCTGCTGTGTTTTCTAGCACACAAGCAGTGGCAAGTGGGATAACTACAGCATCTTGTTAGTCTGTTTTTAGCAGCCTAATGCTGGTGCTGGGCTCATCTTGAGGCTGTTTGTGACAGAGGCAGCCATGATGTCTGCAGGTAGCACTTGGCAGGGAAGCAGCAAGAGGATTATCACTGCTGGGTCACCAAAGCTGGGAAAGCACACACCCTTGGATAGACAAGGAACCCATTCCATCCCATGGGTAAAGGCCCACCATGGGGCTGTAGCATCTCAAAAATAGCTTAGTTTGCTTAATGGCATTTCTGTTTGCAGAGGAGGCATTGTTGAGCAGAGTCCTTGGAAGCTGTCATGTTGAAAAAACTGTGTGCTGCATTTGAGCCTTAGAAAGCAACTTTAACCAACCCCCACTTTCTTCTTAATTTTTGAAACAAAGTATGTAGACAAATACTTTCAGTGAAATTTTTGCACACAGATCCCTTTGGAATCTTGAGACATCTCAGGAGTGTAAATCCCAAACTCTATCGAATTACGGCTTAAATTTTTGATGATTTCTCATTCAGTTTTCAATTCCAAGTTTTGTTTCATATTGTTTTTGTATTTGTAGTTTTTCTACTGCACAGCTTGGGCCAACTCAGTTTGATATTTTTGCTGCTTCAGGAAGGTGTTTGGGATTGTGCTGGCAGAGTTTATTTTATATGGGGAATCACTCCCAACACTAGAAAATTTCACAATATTGATGACAACAACTGGCCAGAAAATGTGTTAGATGAGGCTTTGGATAACACGTGAGAAAAACAAGTACACAGTTTACCTTTTCTGCCAAGGACAATACCGTGGAAGCCTGAATTATGGCCACCTGCTCTTCATTCCTTAAATTCTGTGAAGAGAAAGATGGGAAAGAGGAAAGTTGGAAGCAGTTTCCTGCATAAATAAAGACAATCCAGCCTACAAACCACATCCGCAGTTTTCTGAGGATCCCTGTACTACTGAGTACTCAGTTTCCATTGAAATATTCAGTCTGTTAACATATTAAGACGACCACTACTTTTGCCTTTCTACATTATATGGATTAACTGTATCATTCATTCAACTACATCTTAAAAGAAATATAAACTAAAATTAGACCCATTTGTCTTCATGCTGATTTTACAAAGCTGAATTTCCATTAATTTTTAATATTTTTTTAATATTTTGTAAAAATAGTGCTGATTTACATTAGCACATGAATAGACAATAATGACCCTTTGTTTTTATTTCTTACAAACTTTTTGAGACATTTCTAATTTTGGCCAGAGACACAGGATCTCTTTTATGTGGGCAGCTAGGCCCTCTTAGAAAGCCACAGGGAATTTGATAATTTTTGCCTACTTATGAAACTCTTAGAAAGAATCCTAGTCCTGATGAGGAGTGGTTTACTCAGACTGCCAAACTCATTCGTGTGTTTTCCTGGGTGAATAGGGTGCAGTCAGGGCCAGACCCAATTATTGATGGTCTTTGGACATTCTTCCCAGTCTGCTAAAACATACATAACAGATGCATAATTTAACAAGTATCTTAGAAAACAGTCATACACATCACTTACTGCACTATACAAAGTGCAGCTTGTAAAGAGAAAGTATCTCCTGTTTCAACTTACCCCATTATCACCTAGGATGTCTAACTGCTTTATAAGGTCTGGGATGCTGACATCCTGCAAAGAGACAGTAAGGTAAAGGCATGGCATGCACCTTTTATCATGATTGCAATATCCACCTATCCTATGAACCATATGGAATTTAGCCATGTTGTTTTATCCTATAGAAATGTATCACACATGGATGTCAGTTGCCTTTGAACCAGATTTTATCATTATGGTGAGAATTTTGAGTCTAATTGAACTGTGTCTGTCACCACACTCTTATATTACATCGAGTTTAAATACCTGAAGTTTAGTGGAGTTATTTGTAATGGATTATATGGGCAGCACCCACCACTCCGGTAGGGAAAAGCACTGCCTTATACAACTGACCTACCTTAACCCCTTCCTTCATGCAGTAGATCTGTAGAGCACTCACACCATCTGAGAATGGGTGAATCTGGAGATTAAATGGCGGGGACCGTCTCTCTCTTTCCTGCAAATAAATTGAAAAGACACTAGAGAATCTATTAGAATGAAGGAGATGCACACAGAAAATACCATAGCTGCTGTTTATATCATGCTTGGCTTGCAAAGCCAAGCACTTCATTCCACAAGCCAAGGAAAGAAACATCTAGAACTAGTATGAGAAAGTGAGCCAAGTGGGACAGGATCCTAAACCCAAGGCAACTGTTTTAACAGGAGATTATTTGATAAATTAGGTCAGTTTTCAAACTGGCTGTGGAAAGGTTGTCACTAGCTAAGATTCAATAGATTTTCTTTATGAAGTGTTGAACAACTATGCATTGTTGTAAATACTCCCTTTAGAAACAGATGTTTGACTATAGACTATTGGGAGACTCAGATTACACATTTTGCTCATCCTGGTATGCTGTATATTCAAACATCTGTGGGAAAGAATGCATTCAAAAAAACTGATCAACTTAGCTATACACCTTCATTGCTTAAAATTTACAAATATTTGTCAGTTCTAAATGACCAGAGAGAAAATAAAATTGAAGATGAATACCTCAGGTATTCAGGCAAGCACAGAAGTGAAGATTAAACTTAATTTTCACACACATTTTTGGTTTATGAACGTGTAATTCACTTGATGAGTTCAGCTCCCTGTCATTTGGATACACACCTGTCAGGTAAAACTGTGGGGCAGTTCTATGAATAAGGGGCAAGTCTGACACAGCATTAATTTATAAGACCCAGGAAAGGCTCTGTGTGGCAAATATATTTGGCCTTGGACAGCAACTGAAAAGAACAACTAAAAAATACACCAGCTTATTCTGGGGAAGAGAGCAGGTGAAGTTTTGGTTGCCTGGCACTCCAAAGAAGAGCCTGTAACTAGAGGCAGTCTGGGAAGAGGGAGATTGAGGTCCTGAAGAGGCTTCTGAAGCTCCTGCATCAATGTCCAGTGTCACCTGAGAAACTGTTTTTACCCACTACTGGTTATGGGAGAGCTGCTCAACAGGGAATGTGTCCAGTGCCCACAAAAGGAACAGCACTTGCACATGGGCAGACAGGCTTCTCCAAATATTAGAAAAATTATGCCCACAGGCATGGCAACTAAGACACACACTTATGTTAATCAGCTAAGCTTACCTGTGCCCACTAAGGGCACCTCAGTTCACCTGGCTCAGGGTGAAGTGAAACAGCAGGGTATGGTGCTTACTATTTCCAGGATATTAGAGCTGACATACTTCAGCTCACAATTAAAAATGCTGGGCCTGATTTGTTACTCTGTTTCATTGCTACAGCACTTGAGCAAACCCTTGATTAAAGCTGGTGTCCAGTGCAAGTGCAGTCACTTAATTTTCTACTAGCTCTGCTGTAAGAAGCGAATCCATCACCTCCAGCTCAAGGTTGCGGAACTCCAGCAGCTCGTTCTGGTCTCGCGCATCCTGCAGCTCCTGTTGCAGACGGTTGTTTTCGGCTTCCGTTTTCTCTATCTAACAGAAATATGTTAAACCGTGACCTGTGTGACTGTTACAAGAACCATGAAGTATTTGGTGAGTAGTATTTGAGGTAGAATATGCTGTGCAAAATATAAACCCTTAAGATGTCTCACAGGATCCAGATAACCCTTCAGAGTGAACATGCAAACCTTTGGAACATACCTTGTCTAGAAGTTCTTGGTTCCTCTTAATGAAAAGCTGCTTATCTTCCACCCAGTGTGAGTCCTGTTGGATGAAGCAGTAGTATTACAGAATAATCAAATTCCATGAGGCTCCAATTTATTGAAAATTGGAGCCATAATACACAGGCTTTAACATCCTACAGGAATAAGCTGTCTTTTACAGAACAACAACATTTTAAAGTTTACCAAGATGTAGTGAGGCTTCTGAACTTGCTAGAGCTGTCTGTTTATTGACTGGCAACATTACATCTCATGGAAGCTTATACTGAAATTGTGCTAGGTATTTTGTAAGCAGAGCAGGTAAGGTACAAAATAGGGAAAAAATACACAAGAATTACTTACCTGCCCTTTCTGAGCCAAAGTTTTCTCCAGATCTTCTATTTTGGCTTTATACCTCTGGACTTCAGCTTGAAGTTGCTCCTGAGCCTGTTGAAGTCAGGCACCACATAAAAGAGTAACAAAACCAGCAACGTAACTGGTGTTATAAGGAAACCAAGACCAGCAGAGCCTGGGTTCATGCTGTCAGTTCCACTGAGTGAGCAACCATTAGAAAGATTCTGACTCAGCGATGTTTTGTGCCATCCCTTAGACTGGCACACAGATGACACAAGGGAACAGAATGGTGGATCAGCCCCAACACCCCACCCAAGCCTGTTCCATCGTGGACTGCATCAGAGCAGCAAAACACAAGCTCAGGTACTTGGGGTGCTCTGATCAAAGACCCTAATGAGGGGCAATCCCTAAATTACAAAAAAAGTGCTATCAGAGTGGCAACAGGCAGTGGGAAGAGGCAATTTTAACTGCCAGGGGGTCCTCAAGAGTTGACTTAAGTAAGTAACTGATATGATTTCACAGTTGACTGCTTTGAGCAGGAATTAGGGCTGGAGACTGCCTGAGGTGCCTTCCAGCCTGAATGATTCTAACATTTTATTAGAGGGGCAACATTTTTAGCCTTGGAAGGTTTACTGTAGCCTGCATCACATTAAAGTTTGAATGTAATTTGCATTTCTGTTAGAAACATACAGATGTTCCTAAAGTTGGTGCAATGTGTGCCTTTGTGAAAACCCACAGGCCTTCATTTGCCTTTTAAACCAAATCCCAACACACTTAGGCAAATGCTGAGAAAACCCTTGGGATTCTGTGTCAGGCTGCAGAGTTGTCTGCTTTGGCATGCCTGCCTGACTGCAGAGTTTTCAGGTTCAGGTGGAGGACAGCTTCCTGTAAACTGAGCATGTCCGTTCTTAATGGTCACACTCTTTAAAAATGTACTCAGTAAGTGACTGAACAGACACTTCTCAGTGTTATGGATGCTGTATATAGCTCCGTTCCACTGTATGTCCCTTTGAATGGTTTCTTGTCCTGACAGCAATGAAAAACTGTTACTCTCAAACAAATACTGACCCTGGCTTCTCTTTCAGCATCTATGACCCCTCCTGTCTGTTCCTGCAGCAGTGCATATGCTCTCTGCAGGGCCTGGTATTCCTTTGTCAACTGTCGAAACCGCAGCTCTGACTCTTCTGCTGCTAAACCCTGAAGAATAAGAAGGGACATGTCTAAGCCATGGAGAGCAAAGCATTGTCAAAGCAAAGAATGCAAATGTGATTTGTTAAGCACAGAAGTTGGTTTACAGGTCTTGATTCAAACAGCTTTTTGGATCATAGTGAACTTGCTATGATCTGAAGTGAAAAAATGTGGCGATTATACAGCATTTATATCACAGTATCAGCTGAGCTGGAAGGGACCTACAAGGATCATTGAGTCCAGCTCCTGGCCTTGCAAAGCACCATCCCCAAGAGTAACAGAGCGTTGTCCAAACACTTCTTGAACTCTGTTAAGCTTGGCGCTGTGACCACTTCCCTGGGGAGACCATTCCAGTGCCAATCATCCTTTGGGTGAAGAACCTTTTTCTAATATCCAACCTAAACCTCCCCTGACACAACTTCAGGCCATTCCCATGGGCCCTGTCACTGGTCACCACAGAGAAGAGATCATTGTCTGTCCATCCTCCTCCCCTCATGAGGAAGCTGTAGACTGCAATGAGGTCTCCCCTCATTCTCTTCTCCAGGCTGAATAGACCAAGTGACCTCAGTGGCCTCTCATACAGCTTCCCCTCAAAGCCCTTCATCATCTTTGTTCCTCTCCTCTGAACACTCTCTAACAATTTAATATTTTTCTTACATTCAGAGCAGAGCAGAGCAGAGCAGAGCAGGGAAATCCCCTCCCTTGACTGGCTAGAAGTGCTGGGCCTGATGCCCCCCAGGACACGAGTGGCCTTCCTGGTTGCCAGGGCACTGCTAACTCATGTTCAACTTTCTTTCAAGCCCCAGGTCCCTTTCCAGGCATTGCTTTCCAGCATCTCATTCCCCAGTCAGTCTGTAGATTCAGGGTTGCCCCATCCCAGGCGCAGAATCGGGCACTTGACCTTGTTGAACTTCATCTGGTTGGTGATGGCCCAGCCCTCTGATTTGTCCAGGCCTCTCTGCAGGGCTTCCCTGCCTTCAAGGGAGTCAACAGCTGCTCTCTATTTTGTATCATCTGAGACCTTGCTCAGTATACCTTCCATTTCCATGTTCAAGTAATTTATGATGATATTGAAGAGCACAGGGCCTAAGATGGAGCCCTGCAAAAGGGCATACTAGTGACAGGTCACTAGTATGATGTCATCCCATTCACTGTAACCCTCTAATATGTCTTTAAGCTAAAAGATATGTGATAGGCTCATCTCCTTGAAAAGGAAGAGGAAAAAAAATCATCTCAAATTGCAGGGAAGGCACAGCTATAGACTCTGTGGACTAGATTCTGGAAGAAACTCAGCATTTCAGTATATGAGTACCAAAATTAAGGTGAAACTTAGAAAGTACTTATCACTCAGTATGCACTATAAAAACCTGTGTGTTTTTGAGAGCATAACAACTTGTTTTGAAAGTCATCATCTCTTGAGAACCTGTAATTTGTCTGTGAAAAGAGTCAGATCTTACCTCATCCAGATCATCATCTGGGGTTGCTGGTGTCCTGTCTGTTCTATATGAGGCCACAGAGGATGTTTCAGAGTCCATAGAATCATCATCAAACCCAAAAACTGTATCCACCACATGTCTCTGTAGAAGGAAAAACATGATTTCTGAACCTTCATGTAAACTTGTAGCATGTGTTCTGGATAGGGACAGAGGGAGGAGTTGCTAGATACTTAAAAGATAAGGTGTGAAAAATGAACAGTGGGCTACTCCTGAAATTGCCATCTTCAAACTCAAGACCCATTGAAGATCAGGTCTTGTGCTGCTGGAGAATAAGTTTGCTGAATAATTTTTCTGAGGGTCTGTCTCAGTCTAATTGTAAAACAAAATGTGAGAAGCCATATACCAGAGGAAAAGTCTACTCTTGCATGAAGGCAGGAGAATTGTTTGTTAACCACAAAGCTCTTCAGAAGACATCTATCAACATGCTGATTAGTGTGCAAAGGTAACACCATAAGGAGCTGGAAACAGATGTAGAATAGGCAGCCCTCCTTCTTCTCTCACAGACACTGCTGATACTTTTAATGTCTAGGTGCTTCTCTTGCTGATATTGTTGTTGGACTATGTCAGTGAAAGCTATGCTAATACAAAACTAACATGAAGGAACTTATATTGCATCTTTCCAGGATTACAGTAACTGCACATGTTATAAACAATTGCTCATGCTCCACAGTTTGACTGCATGTCTGACACCTCACTATTGCCAATCTCATAGCCAAATTAAATCAAATGAAAACTGTGACATGTGTCCTTTGAAGGCACAGATGCCTGACCCTGCAGGCTTGGTTTCAGGGCACTACAGATCTGAGCATTTAAATATTTGTCTTATGGATAATTCTGAAGACAAACTGATTGACAAGCAATTAAGATTCACCTATTCTTAGCAACATCTTTCGCTTTGCCGGTAGGGTAAAACCTTCTAAACCTGGAGATTGAATCACACAAAAAACATGTAGTAAAGAGTCCAATTAGCTTTTGCATATATAATTATTTTTGTTCATTGTGTTGTCAAGTGAAGACAATTGACATATTCTACAGTATTATACTCTCTGGTTTAAAAATAAAATTTACTGATGAAAATACTTTTCGGTCCTTGTTGTGCCTGCTGTACACTGCTTCACCACCCACACAGAAACAATGTGATGACACAGCTAGGATTTGCCGGTCTGAAATTCCCAGTGTGTAGACAGTGCTGCATTACTTTCACAGAACATGGCTGATACACTACAGAATGTCCTTGGAGGACTGAGTGCAACCAAGCAACCAGTATTTCCACTTTTTGGAGGTGAGACATGAATGTTGCGAAGTCATGCTTCACTTATAGATGATAAAGGAGCTATGCAAACCACTCCTGACTACTCAGCTCTAAAATTGTTGTAAATTATACCAGCTTTGGACTTAACCCAATTCAGGGTGATACAAAAGTTAGTCAAAGGCATGTGAATCTAAGCAGGAGAGAATGACACAGTATCTCAGGCAGGAATTTCCACTTGAAAAATAGAGATGCACAAGGATTTGGTTTTAGCCCACATATGCTGTAAAAATCACCGAAAAAAATGGGAAGGTCTCTGATAAACCTCTCAGCATAACAGACCTTGAGACCAATACTTATAGAAACCAAATGGAAGGACAATTATTACTACTCAGGAGGGGATGGGGTAAAGACAATAGATGGGACAGGAGTCCCATTTTGCTGAAAATAAAATAGCTGCATACCCTTAACAGAATTTCAAAGTGGATTTAAAAAGCTCTCCCAAAGTAACTAAGGAATTTATATACCTGATCACTAAAGCAGATTGTTATAATCCACAAAGCTCTGTTTAATCAGATTGCTAACGTGTGTTTTCCTGCACAGCCTACCTGTGCACTGTAAATAAGAAACAACTCTTCATCTTACCTTGATTGGTTTTGAGCTCCTTTTATGCTTTCTCCGACGAATGAGTTTCTCCCTGTCCTGGAAAGTAAGATTAAAAAGTTACTCTCTCTTCTCTTTCCAGCTGTTAGATGACCAAATATACACAGGAAAAAACAGAACTTCCAGTGACTCTTCTCATATGTTCAAACAGGAATCTGATTACAGGTAGAAGGAAGGATTCATATCCAAATCTGTATGTGTGTCAGCTGAACACCACCTGAAAGAAGCCCTTGAGTATTTGCCTTGAGCAGCTGTCAAACAACAGGAGCTGATGGACTGCCCTCTAAAATCACTGGGAAACCTGGCCCATGGGTTTGGGCATTGTATAAGGGACTGTCTGCCTACCCTGATGAGCAGATACTGCCGCTGTCTCAGTCATTAAATGATGGGAGTGTTGATCTCACCATTCCTAGCAATGATGTCTCAGAAGAGACAACAGCCTGTTTTGGAATCTTTTTCCTCCTCAGTATCATAATGCAAAGTCTGCTGACAAAGGATTTGTCTGCATTAAATGACAGAAGAACTGGAAATTCACTGTCTAGCTATACATGCTTTTCCAGCACATGATATGGCACTGTGGGCTGGCCTCTTGTTAAGGAAACACTTTAAGCATGACTTAGTTACAATGGTAAAACATCTTGGCACAGCCCTGTCTTGTGAACAGGTAGGTACCTTCCAAGCTCCACAGTTCTTAGACTGCATTCCTTTCTGGAGCTCAATTCACAGTGTTATGCTTTGAGTTGTAGGGGCTGATGCTCCACTACAAATTCAGTAAACTGCACACATGCCTGCCTACAGCTAAACGTCTGCAGATGTTAAAAGCAGATAAGGTATTAATGCTCAGACCTCTAGTTGTAAGATGAAATACTATCAGTGGTAAACTGTACACAGCAATCATTCCTAATTTCTTTGTGCTCTAGACATACCCTTGTTAACTCATCAATTATGTTCTGCTGTTCTATGACCTGAAGCTTTAAAAATTCAGTTTCTTGTTCCTCATTAGCCTGATCCAGGTCATTGAGAGATCTTAACTTCTTTAGAGGAGGATGTGATGTTATTTTTTCTCTCTGTGGTAAGAAGAAAAGATAAGAGATAAAATAAGATTCAGCAACTGAAAGACCACTTTTCAGTTAAAAACTATATATCACCTTTCATTTAAGCTATACAGACCTTTAGATATGCTTCAACTACACAATTTTTTATTAATGCCCATCAGTGCTTCTTAACAATTAAGTAGTACAAGACTGAGTTCTTCAACCAGAACAACAAAGTTTTATCTATTTGCTTACCTTGTGGCAATACAGCCTCTACAGCCCTTAAAGGTCATATACCATAGCTCTTCCTTGACCATGCATCAAGATGCCCCCACATGTGGCAAATAGAGTTGAACCTTTTTAGTGAGTAGCCAAATAGCTATCTACTCTCACAACCCCATGTCCTTACTAATATTCAATGTAGGATCATACACAGTGAGGCAATGGGCATGCTTTACTTATGTGAAAGACATGCATCCAGTCACACCAAGAGGAAAGGCAAAAACTGTGGTAACAGATCTATTTTAAACACAGGTCAATATCCTGCCTGCTCCTGAGCATATGTGGGAAAGGAGATGGATAAAACCTGTGAGAATTACTCTAGCCACCCACAGCTCGTTAACTTTTTGATATGGTCATCCATAGAGTGAAGAGCAGATGTCAGGGATGTCAGGGAGCTAACTTAGCACAGTGTCAACAGATATGCACCAGAGGTGCTGCCCACTGATGCCTAAAGCATGCAGATTCCTGAGTCCTTTCTCTTTGCTGTGGGAGACCCCAAGGGACTGTGGTCTGTACTACCACAGCTGTGGAAGAATAATTGTGACCCATGACACCTGCAATAAGTTTATCTGTCTTCCAGGCATGGGTAAATTGCAGAGTCTTTAAGTGGATTAATCGTGTAGCACTGAAGTCTTTTTTCTGTGTGACAAGAAAGTGAATCTGATCATCTCCACTTAATCAGCAGGGAAGCTGCTCCCATTGCAGGGCACTTAGCCTGCTCAAGACAGTGGCTACTACAAGTCAGGGCAAGGTCCATGAACACCCTTAGCAAGGGAAGTTGTCTCAGTCTGCTAGCTTACATCTGGCAACCCAGAACATCCACCTCCTTTTTCATTAATGCCAAAGCAACATCAGTACATGTGTAGGAACATAGGGCCTGGAAGCAGACTGATAAGCAAGGCAATCCCATCTGGAGGATATGCAGACATAACTGCTTTGACCCTACTTCATATGGCCCTGACATGGGAAATGCATAGCCCTAACCAAATTTAAACACCACCATTCTCCCTTTCCCATACACACCTACCATGTGTATGTTTTATGGAAAGATCCTATGTGCTTAGTGCCATACCAGAAGTTTACTTTGTCATTATCAACTCTAAAAAGAATGTGTACATGATGCAAGAACATCATTCTAGCTGAAAATCACTCTTAACAGCTTCCTTTTTGAGTTCCAGATGAAAAACAGCACAGTAGGATATGCCTCTACGATATAACTTTCTTTCCTTTTTCTTTTTTTTTTAAACAATTGAAACTCAATATTCTAACTTTGATAATAGAATTAAAGACTGTGATTATGCATTCATGTAAATATATTGCCCATATATGCATAACCCGCTATGTTATGGTATGTAAATCTACAGACCAAACCATGGCTGTATCTTAGCAATAGTATTATACATTATATACAATGCATATTCTCTACTTATATAGATCATGCACTATGCAGATGTGGCCACCAACACATAGACCATCCAGTAATCCTCATTTTGCTCTTCAGTACCAACCATTTCTATATTTTCTTTAGTGACTGCTTTGAGTTTATCTTCCATGCGCTGCAAAGACTGCATAAGTTCATCATTTCTCTTCGTGAGGCACTTGTTCTTTTCCAGAAGAGGTTTACATTGTTTCTCAGTTTCTCGGACACGCTTCAACTGGATTGACAATAGTAATTAATAATTGTCATGAGAGACACATGAATATACTTGTAATTTGCAATCTTGACCTCTATTCTGCAATTATGACAAAGAACACTGAAGCCAGCTAAACTGATATGAAAGGAGTGCATTAAGATTTCTAGCTCAGGAATAAAAAATCCATCAAGACTTGAATTTATCACCCTCATCTTTAAGCAGAGAAGTAGGAATATAAATAGGTTAAATAACCAGGGTCCTTATTCAACACACAGATATCACCACAGAGTAGAAAATCAGATAAAGGGATCAATTCATAGTTGTCAATTCTTCCTAGACCCAGTACTTAATTATTTTCAACCTGGTCAAATACTGGACTACAGATTTTACAAACATTATTTCATTTACCAGGTAAGTCTCACCATGCGTAAGGTAAGTCACCAAGCACATGTTGTGTGCTTGAAAGGAGGGCACAGAAGCATTCACACAGCGTCCTATAAGCCTTGCTGCCTCAACCTCCACTGAGATTTTGTACTCACGTAACTTAAATGAAATTTTTGTTTAATTCTAGGATAAAAAGTCCTCCTCAACGTCCTGAGTGATGGGCCTGATGGATGGACAAGGCCTATTCATCACCAGATTTATCCCTAGATCCTCCCCCTCTTTGCCTTTCCCCATAGTTCACAACCTCCTCTGTCTGCCAGTACAAAAGCTCACATACCAGCTCATTTCGTTCATCAACAAGCAATGTGTTCCGATCTTCCAGCTTCCGTATCGTGGCATTCAGCTCTGCTATCCTCTTCTGGTTTCTGCGCAAGTCCTGTGCATGGGCAACAATGTCACACAATTACTGATTCTCTTCAAAATACATTCTTGGGAAAAGAATCCTTAAAAAACACACACCAGTCAAGCTGTCATCATCAACAAATTATCTTTAGGGACTTTTCCAGTACTGAACATGTTGGCAAAAACATATATTTTTAGGAGGAAGTATCTGGTTTGGGGGATAGTTTAATTGAAAATTTTAACTCGTTTACAAAAATCAAGACAAAACAACCAAACAGATGATAATTTTTTATTATGGAGATGAAAAAGCTAAAAGATTCTATTTTTTATTGCCTTTTCCTATAGATTCCTACAGATGCTGCTATTTGCTGAGCCACTACCTCAGGTGAAAAAGTCACAACAACCCTTTCTGTATCAATTACATTTACATTTTTATTCCTCATTTGTCTACATGTAAATATGCTTTTATATATGCATTGGTCGTGCAAACATCTTCAGTTTAGTCACACAATGGGTGACCTTTGTGCTTTGTGAATGACACTCAAGGGCTGTCTGTGGGAAGACGGACAAAGAGGAGGACCTCCTAAGAGTCTCACAGATTCTCTGTGCCCAGATTTCTCCTTGCTCCTCCCTATTCATCCTCCTAATTCTATCTGGTTTTGAGGATGCATGTTATCCAGGTAGTTAGGTTCATGATGATTCTTTCAAAGGGGCATTGATTATTTAAGATGTGTTATATTTACAAATAGAATGACTGATGAAAACCAGCAGTACAAAGCTTTGTCCAACTAGCATGCCCTCTGAAGACTCCATGGACATTAACTTGTCTGTAGTGAGTGAGTGAGAATGTTTTCCCAGGGCCTGAGAAGGTATGTCAGCAAGAAACACACATCCATGCTACTGCTGTGCAAGGACTGGTAAAACCTGCATACAGGGCTGCTGCAGTGCTCCGAACCATCTCCAGCCCTTCCTGGGATCTCTCTCTTGGGACTGCTCATGTTACATTCTGCCTCCTTCACCAAAAAGAGTTGTTCATCCAGAGCTTCCTTTTGCAGCTGCAGCTTCTGCACATAGCCTGTCTGTGTCTCCAGTTCTTTTTCCAATGAAAATATGATCCTGTCTTTAGCCTTGATCTCATCCATCTGAATGAAAGAAACACCAGAACAATATTATTATGTGAAGGCAACAGTACTTCTTCAATTTGTATTGTATGATCCACTTAAGAGCAGCGATCACCCCTCAAATCTGCTCTACCATACTGCACCAGGGCTGTAAAACACAGTGTGAGCCATACTCAACTTGGCACAGGAGCACATTCACTGAGCATTTTGGCAACACAAGAATACACCTCAAGGATGCAGACTGTGAACTGGGGGGACTGGTATCATTATTTACAGTGTAAATTCCCATTTATTTTACTTAATTGTCAATTCTTGAATTCCAATTTTCAAGCTAAACTTTTTACCTTTACAAGTAGGTCCAGCTCTCCACATGACAGTGTGTCCTGGTTCTGGCCAGGACAAGGTTAATTTTTGCAGCAGCCAGGGGACCCAGAGGTTATTCTCTATCATCTCATGTCATTTTCTGGGGATGGGGGAAGGGCTCCCTTCTGGAGGAGGGTAGCATGGCTGTGGTAAGGTCCCAGGCTCCATGGTGAGCATTTTGCACATAAGTCACTCTCCTCTCTCATGTCAGCATTTCACTGCTGTTTCCAGTAAAGTGGTCTTTCTTCAACTCATTATCTCATCTTTACCTTTTGTGCCTCCAATTCTCCTCTCCAGCCCACTGCAGGGGATGGAGAGTGAGCAAGCTTCAGTATGGTTTGGGAAGTCTAAGTGGGAGCACAAATGGGAAGTTTCTAAAGCACAACAAAAGGAAACAATGCAAACTACACTTTTGCTGGTGTGGGCTTCTTTTTGTTCACTTTCCACAGTAATTACTGAAGGCTACACCAAGGCCAACCCAAAGACATCTCCTCTCCTGGTTTATTGCTTTTAGGATACCATAACACAGGCTGGAGAAATCAAAAAACTGCAAGCATAGATGCAAATGGTCTTTATCTAACCTTTTGCAGTTTGCATGTATTTGCAAATCAGAGAGCCAAACCCTTATGGATTAGGCCAATTACTCTCCTAATTTAAATTGTTAACTGCCATCACAGTACTCTAGCTGACTCATTGTGAGCTATTTATTCCTGACAAATGACTGTGAGAAATTTGTAATACTTTTCAAAGTGAGTTGCATTGCAGAGATCTGTTACACAAAAAAAGCTAAGAGACAAAAAAGGCAAACTCAGTGCAGCCTAAGAAAGCACATGAACTGTTTTGATTACTTACCAGGCGTCGAATATCCCTTTCACTCTCCCATTTGATCTTGGAAATGGCTTCCTGGTGGGATTGATGCTCACTCCGAAGATCACCTGCCTTGATCTTATCGGCCTGGATCATATTGTTAAGGGCCTCATCTACCTGCTTTTTGGCAGACTTCAGTTCAGTAATTTCCTGCAGAAGCTTAAGGCGCTCAGAGTCAAACTGTTTTCTGGCCTCCTCACGAGCCTCAATAGTCAGCGCTGTCCGTACTTTATCACTGCTCCCATCCCGCAGTGCGCACAGTGCTGACTTGAGGCGCTGGATTTCACTGTCTCGGACTTTCACCATCCTCGTCATCTCCTGCTCGTGCTGTTTGATGAGGTTCTCCCTCACAGCCTGCAGCTCCTTCATTTTCTCCTCATGGAGTTTGGCTTTTAGCTCTGTGATCTGCACAGTCTGCTTGCGTTGCTCCACTTCGCGGATACGCTTCGTTTCTTGAGTCTTCTCTCTTTCGAGTTTAGCAACCTACATTGAGATAAAATGAAAGTCATCTGCTACCAATGTAATATTATCAAAACAAGCCCATCCAGACACATCCGTGTCAAATTGTGAAAGACCCTGCTGAGACCCAACAATCCTCCACACTCTTAAAACAAAATATATGCCAGCCCCTGAGGCATCCACATAGATTACACTGTCTTTACTCAAAAAAAAGCCCTGTCTTCTCCAGGTGTCCTGCCTCACACAATGCTGCTACATGTATTTTTAGTATTTTCTTAGGAAAGAAGACTCCATATGTATGTGTGCATTTCTCTAAAACCTTTTTAACCCAGCAGTCAAATTCACCAGAAAACTGGAGGGCTCAGAAATAGCAAAATTCCTGTATGTCTCACATACTGCTCTATTTGAGGGCTAGAGGTTTCTCCAACTTGTTGCTTAGAAAAATGGAGTCTTTTCCAGAGAAGCTACAGGACACACACAGTAAATGTTTTAAGCTGGGAAACAATCAGACCACTGTTTTTGAAAAGAGTTGCATGGCCTCTGTTGAATTCTGTGATACCATTTTTTCCACATGTTTGTCTTCTTCAACAGACACTTTTATTTAAAATCAAACCCTTACTCACCTTAGATTTCTCCTGATGCAGCTCAATTTGAATGTCTGTTAGCTTAGTCCTGAGTTCCTCATTGGCAGCCTGTAGGGCAACAATCAGTGCCTCAGGCTTTTCGCCCTTGCTCCGTCCTTTTTTTGACATGGTTTCTTATCAGTGAGAGTCCACGTGTTTATTTCAAATACGGACTGCCATCTTTTTCTGTTCCTTTCAGTTCCAGTTAGTTCAGCAACTACTGTGTGACATTCCTTAAGGTCCTGGACTCAGCTGCTTTGGAAGCCCTGTGAGAAATAACACATACTATCATCTGTCAGTGGACACTGCATCTGGACAGCTCACATGCTTAAAGAACATAAAAGAGTGGTCCCATCTCCAAACACTGCAATCTTTGTCAGAAAACCATGAAGGGAGATCCCAGCACAGTCATGCTTCTGAACACCAGCCTGGCACACTTGTGGGAATTCCATGTTTGCCCTTTTCCTGCTCTCAGAAAGGGGCACCATGCCTTGAAGATAGGCGTTCATTTACCGTGAAGATAAGTCATGCTGAGAGTACATGCCTAGAAGGGACAGGTTACTTAATCCAGTCCTTGCAGTCTGAGGTAACCACAAAACAGATGCTTTAGTCTCAAGGATCTACCAAAAATGTCATTCTCTTCCCCTTTCCAACCCCTGATCCCCTGCATGATCCTGTGCCAAACTCTCTACAATGCTCCCACCATCAGTCACAGGAGGAAAGGGCAAGTGAAGTCCCCATCAGCACTCCAGGTCTCTGTGGAAGCAAAAAACTAATAACATGCAAGGGCCTGTTCAGACTAGAAATTGTCCCCACAGAGTGAGAAAGGAGTGCCTATGCCTTTTGGAGGATGAAGATCCTAATTTACAAATGAGGCAAGAAATGACAATATCAAACTGTAATCTAGCAACTGGGGTTTTAACATCTGGTTATGAAAAGCATAAAATAAAATTCTGGACATTAGACAAACTTCATCATTATCCCTGTATTAATTTTAATTTGATAGCATTATTATTCACATTTGTGGCTACTAGCTGAGAGAATGTTTGGAGATCTGGTATATCAGTTTGGAGATGGGCAAAGTGCTGAAACATTAAGACTGCAAAGAAGTGGACAGAGCATAATGTAGTGGTAGTGGTGAAAACTTTACAGCAATAATTAGTGCTCCAGTGCTAGATTGCAGGCAAGCTTTCCTCCGTTATTGTCAGGTTGCACATTAATTTTTATATTTTATTTACAAAACATAATATTTTTATGTACAAAACATAAATAGAATCATAATCTCCTATGTTAAAACAGAAGTAAAGAGATCTCCAAATATGAAAGCCTGTTTAACTCAACAAAAAATTGCATGCATCAGTAGAAGGAAGGACCAGAAAATAACTTAATGTCCCTGTGCTCCAAGAGGGAAGTTTGAGGCTGTTTCAGTAAGTCCAACCAGTCATCTGAAGGCGTTTCCTGCAGCACTTTACTCACCCCTGCTCTTCTTTAGAGCGCTACAGCGACAGCATCAGGACATTTTGACAGCAGCTTAATACTGAGGCTGATAGAGAAAGATCACATGCAAGCTGTAGGCCACTTTACCTGTCATGTTCCAGCTGTGGAGTGCTGTTTGTACAACCAAGAGCATCCACATACCTTGTTTAGGCAGAAAGGTATATAGAATTTGCCATCAGTATCACAAAGCAGGCAAAGTACAGTAAAAAATATCTTGTTACGTATGGTGATACAGTCAATATGGAAACTGAGATGGACTTCGGAACAAAAGGTTCTATATTATCAATAATATTTCCATTCAAAGTCACACACTAAAACATTCTCAAAATTAAGGCTACCCCAGTTTGTTATTATATACCATAGAGGTATGAGCAAAAATTTAAGATGTAGTCTCTGCCCCAACAATCTTACAACTTGTTCAAACATCCAATTCAATTACTGTAAACCAAGTACTTTCCAAATCACAGAAAAACCTGTCCCTTTTCTAACACCAGATGCTGCTGTCCCTTTTGACTGCACAGCATGCTTCTATACCACAGCCATCACAGTCCTTTACTCTTAATGCCTCTACCTGCAGGCCTCATTACAGAAGAATATGCATGTAGCTGTACATTTATAGCAAGAAGAAAAACTGCTAAATATGCAACAGCTGCCCAATATGAGAATCACCAAATGCAAGAGGAATCTAAAATAGCAAAACTCATAGAAACACTTGTGTGAAATAACTTTACAGGAGAACCACTGCAAAACTTGTTCCAGCTCCATAATAGGAAGTTCTAATCTTACAGAATAAATACCCAATTGTCTACCCAAGTACAGTTAAAAAAAAATCATACTTGAAATATGAAAAATGCCTGCAGCTGAAAACCACTCTACCAGTCTATACAGTGCTAAAGTGAAAGGGAATGTTGCCATTGACTGGAACAGGAGCAGAAACAGGAGACCAATATGCATGCCTCCCATGGTAACTAATTCCATAGAATGTGTTAGAGATGAGCTTGGGGACTTAGAAAAGAAACAGAATTCTATTAATTCTTAGAATCTTAACCAGCCACACTGCCTTTCATCTTGATAAATGAATAAATTAATGTACTCACACTTCTTCCTGCTCTTTGAACAATGCCCCATAATTCTACCAGAATGCTGCAGTGAGGTGTGCATAAGGTTGGGCTGAGGATTTATAGCTCTGATCTGACTGAGAACACTTCAACAGTGTTAAGCAGTATCCAGACTATTCAGAATAACACATCTTAATTTTCTTTCCCAAGAGAGATCCAGAGAAGCATCATTTAGCCCAATTAACTTTTAAATATGAAATAATGTTCAAAGTAAAATGTAACTGAACAGCTCCCTTTGCTGCATAGGTGCTATCTGCTCTGGGTGTTTGTTGAAGATGGGCACAAGTACCCAGCTCTCATCTCTGCTGTGTAACCTCTCTGGTTCAAATGCTTGGGCCCTTTTCAGTGTCACTTGAGCTCTCTTTACCACAGACTTGAATGCTAAAAGACATATATTGTAATCATAGGTGCGTGGCTTACTAGACTGGTATTCAAATGAAAATAATTTGGAATACGATAGACAAGACTGTGCAGGACAAGCTGGAGAGAAGAATAGAAAATACTCACTGACAGGTGTTACAAGATGAATATAATTGCACTACAGTTCAAAGCAGTGATTTATCAGACACAGGCACAGAACTCTAGAACACCTTGGGTTATTGTGAAAATCAAGAACAGACTCAGCAGTCTTTCTTCTTCCAAACAGGAAGAAGGTGTCTGAGCTAAAGAGATTTATGAAGTACCTTTCGGTTCAAAGCAAGGGAAGGGAACCAAATGCTGCCCACACTAAGTGAAGTGTTGCTTGGCTGAATAGTTGGTGTAGGCTGCTACACTGCGGCTGAACTTTGTATTTGAGAAATGTTTGTTTGTGGGATGAAAGTCTACCTAGAGAAAGATCAGGCTTGTATTTCTGTTCCCAAATCTAACAACACTTTGCTTTATTTTCCTAATCAATATTATTTACTTCTTTTTCCCCCCAAAGACCTTGCTAGCATCAATAAAAAAAAGACAATTATCTGTGCAACACATGAAGGTTTTCACAGACCCTCATAAGTCCACAATATCACCCTACTAAGGTTGCATCTACAGAGGGTTGCATTTCTCCCTAAAAAAGTACTGGCTCTATTGAGTCTGAAGGCATCATATTATAAACCAGATCATAATTAAGACTGTAAGACAAATCTGCTCTGTGTAATTTCTAAATCTCTTCCTTTCTCAGCATTAAAAAATTAGAAAGTGCTGCAGAATGGGGGGAAATAAGAAAAGAGTAGAATCTGAGTAGATTTCAATACAGTCACCAAATCTAGAGCTGGTTTTAAAAAAGTCGTAATTTGTTTAGTGTGAAAAATCTTGGAAGTTAAGAATTTCCCTGCCTAGCAGAAAATAAATTGAAACCTTGATATTTTTCTTTTGGAAATATTGAAAGTGTCCTACTAAAATGCCCTGCTATTGAGAAATCAATGCAACATGGCTGCGAATATTATTTTGATTTACATATGTAACACTTAAAAATGAAACAGCTGTGTCAAAAGGAAGAACCATACACTAATTAAACACTGTTGAAAACTGTAGCAAAAGTGTTGCTTCAGGTCACACCACCTGTGAGTTTTGTCAAGATTATTTACTAAAACTGACATCATCTGGTTGTCTGGCAGGAAAGTCTTACTGCATAAAGGAATACATCATAATCAATAGCAGCCACTCTTCTACATCATTCTCAAGCTGACCTTCACAATAATAATTTCCAGGAATATTAAAATATCTTCTGAACTGAGCTCACAATACCCCTTGGATATGGGGCTCTACACAAGGAATACGGGATGAATCTGGTGCTGCTAGGCTCCTCATGCTAAAATTACCATTGGCCCTTGCTCTAAAACATTAACCAAAAAACCCTATCCAAGTAGCTGGCGACTCCATGGAAACAGTAAAAAGGGGACAGAAGCATTATTGTTACCCACAGCAAAGCTAAGCAGATTTGCTAAAACAATATTCAAGTATTCTGTGGCTAAAATACCATCTGTCTCTTTCTCATACAGTTATTTTTCTAGAAGCTGGCATAACACAATGCACACTGAGAACACTAACAGTGGTAAAAAAAATCCTGCCCTGTCCCAAAAGGAAGTGGACATTTTCCAGAATTAGTACTTTTCAGCATAAGATGTAAATGGACACTGACTGGAGATTCTACTTAAGAATGGCAGGAATTGTCAGAAAAAAAGACAAGCTCTATCAACCTGCCGAGCTCACTGAAAGATGGGAGCATAACAAAACATTTTAGTGGCTTTGTACTTTGTGCATTATTTTATGCAAGTAGATCACACTCAACCACCAGACAACACGCACCACCTGGAAGAGAAACACTGCAGTTCATGGTGTTTATCATATCAGGCTCACCTTTACTTGATTTTAACAACCCAACAAAACCCTCTTTTATTTAATTGAAATGCATATAAACAAGAAACAACAGAGAAGGAAAGTTTATACCCCAGATCCTTCCCCTGAAAACCCTTCCTTTTCCTTCTAAGGCCATACAAATGACCGCCTCTTGCACTACAGATACCAGAGGAAGGTATTTTACATTCACTACTAAAAATTGTCAGATATTTAAGTAAATTCTCTACTCAAAGCAGTAAGGTTAACTTTGGAATTTTTTTACCATTTTTAGCTCAGCTCTTCATACAGCAAATAAATGCAGACATTGGTTTCAGAACAGATCAGAAAAAATCTGCACTCTGGCCTCCCACAT